CGTTCTATTTTGGTACGTCTTGGGGCGCCATCTTACGAGCGCTTCCTTAGAAGCGAGTCCCACTCTTTTCTGTGGGATGTACTGTGCAACTCTGTGCAGAATAATTCCAGTCACAGACCAGTGCTCTGAATGGATTTGGTGGTGGAAAGTGCCGTCAAGTTGCAGCTGACTTCCGGCGACCCCTTAGGGGTTTCAAGACACCATGAGCAGAGGTGGTTTGCCGTTGCCTTCCTTCGTGTTGCAACCTTGGACATCCTCAGCAATCTCCCATCTAGTTACTAACCCTGCTTAGCTTCTGAGATCTGATAAGATTGGTGTAGTCTGGGTCAATCAAGTCAGAACAAAGGTCGTTGGCTATCGTTTGCCTCTGCGTCGGGCAGCGTTCCCTCTAAGCTGAGTTTGTGTGAGCTAGCTCACAATATTTTAGCCTCCGGCTCATACATTTTTGCCTTAGCTCAGGAAGGATGGCACCAGAGCAAACTGACCTATGCAGCAGCCAAATGGCTCGCTCACAACTTTAATGCCAGTAGCTCACAAAGTCGAATTTTTGCTCACAAGACCCCACAGCTTAGAGGGAACGTTGGCATAGGGTATGTTGTCCCTCTGCATAGGGCAGTGATGGCGAACCTTTTAGAGACCGAGTGCCCAAACTGCGACCCAAAACCCACTTATTGATCGCAAAGTGCCAACACGGCAGTTTAACCTGAATCCTGAGGTTTTACTTTAGAAAAAACAGCTCATACATTAACTGAAGACGATCCAAACAAAGTAAGGAAAGCAATCCCAAAGGCTTTCATTTACTTAAAATTATTTGGCAGAGAATTCGACACTTTAATGACGGTCTGGGCCTGGCTGGGGCGATGGCACGCGTGCCCACAGAGAGGGCTCTGAGTGCCACCTCTGGCCCCCGTGCCATTGGTTCGCCACCACTGGCATGGGGTATGTTTAGCCTGGAGAGGAGACGACTGAGAGGTGATATGATAACCATCTTCAAGTTCTTGAAGGGCTGTCAGATGGTGGAGGGTATGGAGTTGTTTTCTGTGGCCCCAGAAGGTCGGAGCAGAACCAACGGGTTGAAATTAAATCAGCAGAATTTTCGGCTAAACACGAGGAAGAACTTCCTGACAAGCGGTTCCTCAGTGGGACAGGCTTCCTCGGGAGGTGGCGGGCTCTCGTTCTTTGGAGGTTTTCAAACAGAGGCTAGATGGCCATCTGACAGCAATGCGGATTCTGTGAACTTAGGCAGATCACAAGGGGGAGGGCAGGAAGGGTTGCATCAGAGATTAGTTCTCGTGGCCCTTTCTTACTCACCCAGGGAAATGCCGATCACCACTTTGAGGTCATGAAGCAGTTTTTCTCCAGGCCTGTTTGCCCGGGGATCTTGGAGGTATTTTGTCATCCTCTGGATGTGGAACAGGGGTCACTGGGTGTGTGTGTGTGTATGTGTGTGTGTGTGTGTGTGTGTGTATTTGTGAATTCCCTGCCTTGTGCAGGGGTTGGACTAGATGACCATGGAGGTCCTTCCAACTCTAAGATTCTGTGATTCTATGACCCAGGTCTCCCATCCAAATGTTAACCAGGGCTGACCCTGGCTCAACGTCCACAATTTTAACCGCCACCGGAATACATCTTTAGGAAGCCACCGTAAGCAGTGTTAACACAGAAGTCTTGTTTTATTCGTTGGGGTTTACTCCCAGGAAAGGATCCTTAGCATTGCAGCCCTCGTCTTATAACTCTAAAACAAACAACAAAAAAAGCCTCCCCGTTTGGAATTTGCCTGGCTTCACTTTGGGAGTGCGGTGAAACCACGAGCGTCTGGTACACAGCGTGGAGGTACAATGCAGCCTTGACCAGCGTCCTGACTTTGGCCAGAGATGGGTTTTCACATGCCTCCGCCAGCAAGCCATTCTACAAAAGCAGGGGCTCTTCTGGAAGGGTAAACATGCCTTTAGAACAACACAGGCTCATCTGTTGGGAAGGGAGTAATTAAATCCTAAAATTACATCCCGGGGAGAAGAGAGACACGTTTGGAGTGATCCTTTGAACTGGACACGGAAACGGAACCTCAGCTACAGTTTTCTCCCGTTGGCCAAAGTGGGCTGGGTTGTTACTGGCTTTCCCCTCAAGACTTTTGAAGTGACCAGTTGAGGGCAGGCTCGGAGGGAAACATTTAACCTGTGCCCCTTAATTCTGTTTGGATTTTTAAAGGGGGCTTGCTGGGCTGTGGGAAAACGTATCAAACCATTAGCCAGGTTTGGGGTCGTTTGAGAAGGCTCTTGATAACCCAGGCAGCCCCAAATTGGGCCCATTCCCAAGATGGGGGATATTGAGGCTCTTTTAAGTGTAGGATTAGGTGAGTGGGATACTGATTCGTATTTCAGTATTCGTCCTAGAACGATTTGTTTTAGTTTTTAAAGACTTATTTCACTAATTGCAGCCCTGCCTTCCTATTATAAGAGGCTAAAGCTGGGACCAAGTTTAAATGCCGCATCTTACCTTGGACTCATAAAAAACCCTAACTATAGATGGGCATTTACTAGAGCATGGTTTGATGCGTTACCCTCAGCAGTACTTTATGGTAGATATACCCGGACTCCCATGCACCAGAGAATTTGTTCCTGTTTGTTAGAACAGGTGGAGTCGGCCTCCCATATATTACTCCATTGTCCTATGTACGACAAAGAGAGACAGCAGTTGTTGATACCCCTTCTCTCACGTTTTAAACCCTTGGCTAATTATCTTACGTATGCCGAGGAATGTTTGATGAAGTTCTTATTGGCCGATACTTATGATTCTGTCTCACGCAATGTTGCTAAATATTGTTATTTGGTAATTAAAAAGCGTAGAATGTACTGTAACTCGAGCCATTAACCATTGACCGGTTTCATATTTTAGTATTTAAGGCTGCAAGGATTCTATGTCGTAGACGCGGTGTTGTACTATTTTGGTTTATTTTGCTGGTCTTATGACTGTTCTTAATAAATTTGATCACTAATGATCTTTACGTGTGAGGTGCCTGCTTAGAAATCCTGCCCACGTTTTGCCAGGCGGCTCTGTTTATGCTGACCAGAAGTTTCACTGGCTGAGGAACATAACAGAAGCCATCTTGGATCAGGCCAATGGCCCATCCAGTGTCACACAGTGGCCCAAACCCAGGTGCCATCAGGAGGTCCACCAGTGGAGCCAGAGAAAGGAGATGACAGAAATTCCCAAAGCTTCTGATTTGCCCTGACAACCCCCCCCCCTTCAAGTGTACAAGAGAGCCAGAATAAAACCATAAACGGGTGGAGGGGCAATTCTTTTACTGGTGGCCACCAGACCCCTCCCCCCCCCGCTGTACCCCCTTGGTTCTCAGCAAACCTCATTGCAGGACACCTGAGGTCTGGTTGTAACGAGACAGCTATGGAAAATGATTTTCTTCTCCACTGCCCCTGAGGAAACTAGCTCTGACTCATGGAAGCTCCTGCTTGAGTGTTTGTCTTTTAAACAAAACAAGAACACATCGGTAGTGTACAACCTTCTGATAAGTAAGACTTTGCACTTAAAAGATGCACAGAACGTCATACAAAAACAATTCCCTATTATGTTGCCCTAGAGGTATTGGAGATGGATTCATGAGATAATGGAAAAAATAACAAGAACTAATAATCCCGTTTACTCCAGAGATACTGTTATTGAATATGTTTCTGAAAGACTTTGATAAAGCAGATAGGTATTTGATAGTATATGCCAAATATTGGAAAATAATGGAAATACCAACAAAACAAGAGTACGTGAATAAACTATTTGAAACGGCGGAAACTTACAAACTGACACTTGAGATGAGAGCCGGCACAGAATGGACTTTTCAAAAAAACTTGGAAGAGATTCTGTGATGGTATAATGTAAACGCAAATGATAGATAAATGTAGTAATTTGAGAACGCAGAAAAGATAAGCTTAGTAAAATAGATAATGAATTTAGAAAGTGATAAAAGTCTCTTGTTATATGTTATATGTTGTTGGGGGTAGTTGGGTGTTGCTTGTATGTATGTCTGTAGTATATAATGAAAAATAATAATAAAAGTGTACCCTCGGGTACTTTAAAAAGAAAAGAAAAGTGGATCATAACACCAAATTTAAAACAACCAACTACCGAACCTATCATACAACCTTTTTAAAGGTCATATATTAAGCACGCTCATATGAACCAATTTTTTAGGAACCACATGGTGAGAAGCCAAGTAACTTAATACAGGATACCACTTTACTACAAGTTAGGAGTACATATCCATATCCGTATTACTGTGAGTTATTTGATCAGTGGGTTTCCCCCCCATTATCTATAGAGTCCATATCTTGTCCTGCCACATATTTATGGAAGGCCTTGCCTCGTCTCTCCATTTAGCAGCTATAGCTGTTTTTTGCTGCAATCAATAATGTGGCTATTAATGGTCTATCTAAATCTGACCAGTCGTTTAGAAATAAGAGTTCTGGTTCCATAGGTATATTAAAACCAGCCGTAATATTTATAGTGTTTATCAGGGGTCATTTAGTAGAAAAAGAGGTGCAGGAGCTCATTAGCATAACTTATTTGCATGACTTATTTGCATATGCCACACCCCCTGACATCACCGGACGTGTGTCAGACGGCAACACCTACCGCTCAGGCTCCACTGGACTGTTTTGGGTTGCTAGCTATTGGGGGGGGATGCGCAGATCTGCCCTCACAGAGGAGGGAGAGCTTGTACCTGAAGGCGGGCTGGAGGGGGGGCTCTGCAACTTACCTGGCTGCTTCTTGCTTCTCGTGGCCCGACTGAGGGCTGCTGGAGCAGGGGGCGGGGCTTGTTGCATGTGCCCACCCCCTGGGCGCCTTACTGCCGGAGCTCCGCTCCTGTGCGCTCCCGCAGGAAATGACCCCTAGTGTTTATCGTTAGTCTTTAAGATGCCACTGGATTTCTAATTTGTTTTGCTAAATATGCGTCTGCTGAAACTCTCTCTCTCTTTCTTTTCAAACTCAAGATTTTAGCAAAGCAATGTCGCAGGCCGGCACTTCCCAGTTCCAGGAGGCGATCAGACAAGAACTGGAATTTTCTATGAAGGTGGAACTGGACAAGATACTTTCGACTGCGCCACAGAATGAGATAGAGGTAGGGACGGAGGAGAAGCAACACTGAATTCTGAGAATGTCTTAAGGCAATGCCTGAGACGTGTTGAGATCCGGCTAGACGTCTTTGGGCCTTGAGAACAAATGAAGCAATGGTGATAGAATTTATGGCTGAGCCCTTAACTATGACCTGTAGAACTTCGTGCAATAGTAAAGTAAAGTTTAACTTAGAAAAGAAACCAGAGCATTGCTTTAATTACATTAATCCGTAATATATTTAAGGATTGGGAGCTGTCTTTTCTCCCCACAAGGATTTGTATTATACTCACATGTGTACATAAATCCAGGGGGGCAGGGGTGGACCGGAAAGTAGAATAATATTTCAGCGGAATACCAAATTGGCAATGGGGGAGAGGGCGGGATCGGGCCAATGTAAATACGTATGAAGTAATGTAATTTGGGGGACAGATTCATAGTTTACAGGGATGCTGAGAAGGAATATTTGGCTGTGTTTACCTTAGAAAACTCGCTGTGAAAATGTCATGTGACATAAAAGCAAACTCTGTATTAGGATTCCTTTAGAAAAGGGACTGAAAATTGAAATACCAGTCTTCATAATGGTATTCTCCATGCAGACAGCCACATTTAGAATACTAGTTCCGGCTCAAGTTGTCTTCTCTCAAAAGGGATGAGAGAGAGAGAGACAGAAGGAAAATGTGACTGTGTTTACTGCAGAAAAAACTCACTGTGAAAATGTCATGTGACATAAAAGCAAACTCTGTATTAGGATTCCTTTAAAAAAGGGATTGAGAATTAAAATACCAGTTTCAGTTCAAGTTGCCTTCTTTCAAAGGAGCTGTGGTGGCTCAAGTGGTTAAGATGCTGAACTGCAGGCTGTGGAAGGTCGGTAGTTCGGCAGTTCAAGACCCGAGTGTGCCACATGACGGAGTGAGCTCTCGTCTCTAGTTCCAGCTCCTGCCAACCTAGCTGTTCGAAAGCAAGAAATTGCAAGTAGATAAATAGGGACCCCTTCGGTGGGAAGGGAACATCGTTCCGTGTGCCTTGGTGTTTAGTCATGCCGGCCACATGACCACGGAAACGTCTTCGGACAGTGCTGGCTCTTCGGCTTTGAAACGGAGATGAGCACCGCAACCCTAGAGTCGGACTCGACTGGCTTTCGAGTAAGGGAAACCTTTACCTTTACTTTTACCTGCCTTCTTTCAAAAGGGATGGGAGACAGACAGAGAGAGGCCGAATCTGCATTTTCATTTTTAAAGCAGTCTTGATGCTGTCTTTCTTTATACTGGTGTGATGCTTTTTTCAAAGTGGTACGAAAAAATCTGCTATTTTTTTCTGCTTGCTGGCCGTGAATGTTGCTGTTCTCCTCCCTCTTCTTTAGCACACGCTGAGAGAGCTCTTGAGAGAAACTGCTTTTTCAAGAACAGCTCTTATCAGAACTACGGCTTGCCCAAGGTCATCCAGCCAGGTGCAAGTAGAGGAGTGGGGAATCAAACCCAGTTCTACCAGATTAGAGTCCGCATACTTAACTGCCACACCCCTGACACCACAGCTCATTAGCATATTGGGCCATACCCCCATGTTACCACACCCACCTTTTGCTTCTTATTCTGTTTACTTTGTTGTCAAAACCCTGGGCTTTTTTTGTAGCAGGAACTTCTTTTGCATGTTAAGCCTAGGGTTGCCAAATGGGGCCGGGGGGGCGGGGAATCCCCCGCTTCAGAGGCCCGATTTCCGCCGCGGCGGAATCGGGCCCCGGGGGAACTCCGCCCCCGAAGCTGCGTCAGACGCAGCCACGTCGCTCATGTTGGGGGCGTGGCCCACATCGTTCGGGGGGGGGAAACCATATGGTTCCCCCCCCAAGGATCTGGGCCACGCCCCCAACGTGAGCACGTAGCACGTCACTTCCTGTGACGTGCTGCCGGCGCGCGTCCATCAAGAACTCCTGGACCCCGGCGAGGCTCCCCTGCTCCGAGGGGTGAGTCGACTTGGCAACCCTAGGTGGGGGGCTTAGAGTGCTTTTAAGGCCCAGTCTGCATCTAGCATTTGCTCTGCTGTTATACCAAACCTACACTGGAACAGAAATTCCCTTCTACATTGCATGCCACTTTCACTTTGATTGAGGCGGAATCTGCATTTGTCTTTCCCACCGGTGTCCCAGCCTTCTGACCCCGTCTTCAAAAAAGCTGTCTACATTTGATACGTTTTCACGCCTCAACAGTGCTAGCATACTTTCGCGCATTCACATATTGTTTATCGTCCTTTCGGGGCGGCTCCACTGTCATTGCACCTCCGCACTGCTTTAAAAAGAATCTTCTCCAAACAACATTCAAACAAGCATAGAGAAAGACGGCGTCACAGCAGCACGAAAATGATTTTAAAATGCAAATGCAGATTCGGCCTTAGTGTTGCGTTTTATGGCAGTGTCCGGAGTGCATGCTGCTTTCACTTTGTTTGATCTCTGGTTTTATTGTGGCTGTCTGCGTAGATTTATGGCTGTTTTATGACCATTGGGGGGGTGGTGACTTTGCAGTCAGTACGGTGTTGGCCCGGGGTTGTTGAATGTGGTTTTGAACGGCATCTTTTTCTGTTCCAGTGTGGGTTTGGTAAAACAGCTGGGCAAATGCTAAATGCAGATTGGGCCTAAGCACATCCATTTCAGCCGGAGAGAAGCCACAATCATGATGGAGCCGAAACCATAGGGCAATAAAATAATGCAGACAGCAGAAATTATAACAGTGCAGTAGGAGAGCGAAGCCTAAAGAGCAGGGCTATTTTTGGGCAGGAACGCACAGGAACGGAGTTTCGGCTGGCTCCCGAGTTGGCCACGCCCAGCAGGAGCTCATTAGCATAACAGGCCACACCCAACAGCAGGAACGCATTAGGATTGGCTACACTAGGAGTGTGTGGCCTATCATGCAAAGGAGTTCCTGCTACAAAAAAAGGCCCTGGGTTTTGACAACAAACAAGGTAAACAGAATAAGAAGCAAAAGGTGGGTGTGGCTGGATAACCACACTTCTGGTAACATGGGGGTGCGGCCTAATATGCTAATGAGCTGTGCTGTCAGGGGTGTGGCCCAATATGCTAATGAGTTCCTGCTGTTGGGTGTGGCCTATTATGCTAATGAGTTCCTGCTGGGCTTTTTCTACAAAAAGAGCCCTGCTAAAGAGATGTGGACATCTTCTTTGGAGACGGAGTGAGAGTGTAGCCGAAGCCGTGGAAAACACCAGTGCAGATCCCACCAGAGAAAGAGGCAACTGAAACGATCAAGAGACTGGAGCACATTCTGCCCAGTTTTCTTTAAACCTGGTTTGTGAAAGAGGTGTATCGAGGATGTGAAATTCAGGAAGGACTACGAAGCCCATTAGGAAGTATTTAGCACAATTAATAAATGAGCTACGGAATTCATCACCTCGCGATATGGTGAACGGACACCAGCGTAGATGGTTTAAAAAGGAACAGACTAATTCATGCAGTCCTTGCTTATCAAGAGCTGTTTGACTCAGCACGTACTTCTGAGTGCCAAATGCTTTGAACGGAAACATCCCGAAGAGTTCATAAGCAGGGTGTGAAAGTGGCCGGCCTCTTAAATGTTGGGGGGAACTCCTATCAGGAATTATTCCAGTGCCTGCACTTCCAAAGCAGGAGTCGCAGAAGACTTTTTCAGTGGGGCTTTCATGGGCGTTACTGACCTTTTGTGCCTCTGTCTGATGCCAGTTTTCCAAAAAGCTATCTACCGTCTTTCTCTTTCAGCACACTAAAAAAGACCTGGAAGGTTTTAAGAAGCTGTTTCACAGATTCTTACAAGAAAAGGGGCCGTCCGTGGACTGGGGGAAGATCCAGAGACCTCCAGAAGATTCTGTAAGTCGCTGCGTGATGGAGGGGAAACCCCCTCTTTGTTTTAAAAACCTTTTTTGAAATGTGTTGTCGACAGCTGGATATGTGCATCTGTGCCCTAGTACAAGGGCAACGGAGAAACATCCCAATGTAGAGAGATCTGGTACCCTGAATATGATGTCATTCTTTAGACCCACCTAACATTAGGTTAGGGCTGCGGTGGCTCAGAGGTTAAGACGCTGAGCTGTAGACTGGAAGGTCTGTAGTTTGGCAGTTCGAGACCCGAGGGCCGCGTGACGGAGTGAGCTCCCGTCTCTGGCCCCGGCTCCTGCCAGAGTTCAAAAAGCAAGAAATTGCAAGTAGATAAATAGGTACCGCTGCTACGGTGGGAAGGTAACAGCGTTCCATGCGCCTCGGCGTCTAGTCATGCTGGCTACATGACCACAGAGACGTCTTCGGACAGTGCCGGCTCTTCGGTGATGAGCACCGCCCCCCTAGAGTTGAATTTGACTAGCTTTCGAGCAAGGGAAACCTTTACCTTTACCTAACATTAGGTTAATTGAGTGGTATTATTTGACTCGGAAGGGAAAGGGGCATGGAAGAACCTGATCTAGCCAGATCTCGGAAGCTAAGCAGAGTCGGTATTTGGATGGGAGACCACCAAGGAAGGCTCTGCAGAAGATTGCAATGGCGAACCATCTCTGCTTGATCAGTTAAGCCCTTCCTTGCTGGGGTTACCATAAGTCGGCTGTGACTTGACGGCTCTGTACACATCAAAATTGCTTGGAGGACAGCGCAGTGAACAACAATTAAAAGGAGAGTGCTGAACTACCGGTAGGGTGAGCAGAGTCTTGAGAAAGTCGGCCGAGAGACTGATTGAAGAAAGCCATTTCGTATATCGGAAGCTGCAGGTTTAATGGGAACTGTGGTTGAATGCATAAGTTTGTCCTTTCCTTCTGAAACATGAGCACTGGCATTAATCTCAGGCATTGCCTGCATGGTGGTGGCAGTTTGAGGTATACCGGGGGTTTCAGTGAGCCAGTTTGGTGTAGTGGTTAAGTGCGCGGACTCTAATCTGGGAGAACCGGGTTTGATTCCCCACTCCTCCACTTGCAGCTGCTGGATGACCTTGGGCAAGCCATAGTTCTGTCAGAGCTGTTCTTGAAAAAAGAGCCGTTTCTGTCAGAGCTCTCTCAGCCCCACCTACCTCACAGGGTGTCTGTTGTGGGGAGGGGGAGGGAAAGGAGTTTGTAAGCTGCTCTGAGAATCGTTTGGGTAGTGAAGGGTAGGGTATAAATCCAATCTCTTCTCTTTTTCTTCTTGTGGTCCCTTGACCTGTGTAGCCCCTTGTTACCGGCAGGCAGTAAGAACCATAAACCATACCCGTTTACTTTTCCTGCACTTCCCTCTCCAGCAGCCAAGCAAAACCTTGCAGATGGCTGCCTACCCCTTCTCTAGCATCACTAATTCTTCCGGGCAGGATGCTCGCAAGTCCCTTAGAGTCATTAGCAGATGTTTATATCGTTCCCCTCGATTATCATAATGGTTAAACATGACCTTTACAGTCTCTTACCACGCTTGCCCTCTGTTTGGGTGTCGCTTCCAAATAGGTCCTCGTTTCTTTTTCTGCAGCATAAATGAGATTTAGCGGTGTCTGGCCGCACTGCGTAATGATAAATAAGTTCCCATTTGTGTCTTCCATCTTCTACCTGTGTCTCTAATGCTGTTTCTTGCCTTCAGGGAAAAAAATCTAGAATGAAACAGAGCTCCCTCATGATCCTGTTTTTTTTTTTGCTTTTCATGTATTTTCTATTAAAAATAATTGCCGGTGGTTGGGCATGTATGGATTTCATGCTGCATTTTAAAAAAATTATTTTGTATCTGGGGCTTCAGTACTTGGGCAGTGGTAAAACACTGGGAATTTCAGTGGCTTTCTTAACTTAATATGAATACTTTGAGGCATAGACCAGGGGTGTCAAACATGCAGCCCAGGGGCCGGATCAGGCCCACAGAGGGCTTCTGTCAGGCCCTCAGTGGAACTCGCTGTCTTCTGCTGCGTCATCGTAGGTTTGCAGCTTACAGATACACACCTGAACAGCATCCTCAAAGTTGCAGCAGCACAGACATTTTGATGCAATAATTCAAAGCAAGAGGTGTCAGTTACCAGACAGTGTTAAATAAACAAAATATTGCAAGAGTGCTAATGTTTTAAGCATGTTTTTATTTTAAGTAAAAAAAAAACCCTTTGTGTTTGTGTCCTTTATATAAAGTTTATATCTCCCCTTACCTGGCATTACATTTTATGACGCACGTGGCCCGGACCAACAAGGTCTCTTTTATGTCAGATCCGGCCCTCATAACAAATAAGTTCGGCACCCCTGGCGATAGTCTATCTTTGTCATTAGCCGTGCATGCTTAGAGCAAATTTCCAGATGGAAATTAAATGTAAAAAAAATCCATTTCCTCGGAAGCACGGAATCTTTACATAGGCCCCGGTCACACAGGCCGGATATCGCGGGGGGGAGGCGTGGCTGTTTGCCTCGCAGCGGAAAAACGCGGGACTGCGTGTTCCCGTCGAGATCCTGTGGTTAGGGGGGAGGTGCCGATCACACAACGTGCCAAAGAAGCGGCGCGGTGTGGCAAACGGGGTTTTGGGGTTTTTTTAAACCTAAAGTATGTGCATGCCCCATTGGGTGCTTGTGCGCATCCCTGGAGACTTCGGGGGAAAAAAACCTTTTCGCAATGGGGCATGGGCCGGCGCCGGATGCCACCGGAAACGTGATCAGACGCCCACCCCTGCCCCATGGCATCTTCGGAGGGAAGCCTCGGGTTCGCCACGGGAGCTCTACGCTTCCCAGATGTGGCGGTGAGATCGCGCCCGGAAAATCCGCCTATTTTCCGTCGCAGTAGCGTGGCTACTGCTCCGTGTGACCACAGCCTTAGTATCCTGGCCCTCTGTGTTTCCCAGTCAAGGAGGGGGGGGAATGCTGTTTAAATTGCAAAGATGATTTGACACCAATGGTAACAAGAGAAAGAACTTTTACTTACAAAAGTAGAAACACAGCTTACACGACATCTTCATCTCGGTACTTTTAACTTATTGTGAACAAATGACCTTCAAAAAAAGTTAACTTGCTAGAGCTCCCAGCTCATGTAAGAGAGAGGAGGCCGTATGTAAGATGGAACACAGAAGGTAAGCAATGGCCGATGATGCTCAACACCTACCCGATGAGAGGGTGGGACCAATTGCCAAGTGTACCCAAGTGAGAGAATTCTCTCGACCCCTTTCCCTCCCAGATCCCCTTGCATGCAGAGTTACAGGACCCAACGCAAACACCCGCTCCTTCCAAAGTGTGTAGATTGCCCGTCCTGTTTCTCAAACCACCCCCAGTAACATCCGAGTAAGCTGGCAAACACTGGGAACTTCAGTGAGAGCCAGTTTGGTGTAGTGGTTAAGAGTCTAATCTGGGAGAACCGGTGTTTGATTCCCCACACCTCTACGTGCAGCTGCTGGTGTGACTTTGGGTCAGTCACAAGTTCTCTCGGAGCCGTTTTCTCAAGGGTAGTCCTCGAAAGAGCTTTCTCAGCCCCACCGACATCACAGGGTGTCTCTTGTGGGGAGGGGAAGGAGATTGTAAGGTGCTTTGAGACTCCTTCGGGTAGTGAATGGCAGGGTATAAATCTAAGCTCCTCCTCCTTCTTCCAGGGTTTTTGAATGGTAAATTTTTGAACCTATCTGCAGGGCTTGAAGCACAACGAGTTGTTCTTCAGAATGGAATAGTAGAGACCAAAGTCAATGAGTCCTCTGGGTTAGAAATTGAGAGGTTTCTTGCAGCTAAAACCTGCCAAAGGTCTGCCGTGGCTATTCAGACTCTCGTATTTCTCTCGGTATCTATAGTGACATTGCGTCTGTAGGAGTCACCTGTTGCGGAAGCTTCGAGCTTCGCCTTTTCCAACAGCACCTTGGCTCTGGTTGGGCAGCATATAGGTAAATGTGTTTTAAATAGAATGGCAAAATTGAGTTTGTTCCGATTTCAGACTCAAAAAGTATAAGAAACATTGCTCTAATGGCGCTCCCTTTTCTCCTTATTCTCTCTCACTCAACGCTGGTATCGCTCACCTCTTCGAATTTCACGAATGTTAAGAAATCCCAGCTTTTGCTCAATTTAACTTTTTTGTTTTAAAAAGAAGACTTAACTGCATATTGTGTATGTTATGATTTCAGGGCTGCAGACAAATAGGCAGGTGACGTGAAAGACCTCTGCCCAAGACCCTGGAGAGCTGCTGCCAGCCTGAGTAGGCAATACTGACTTTGATGGGCCCAGGGGTCTGATTCAGTAAAAGGCAGCTTCTTGTGTGTGTACTGTGCCTTTTTTATGATGTGATGAATTGTCATGGGCAAGACAGTTGACTGGTAGATGGTGTTCTGCAATTCCAGATTTAGCCGAGTTCTTAGGAATTGCAGAGGTCTTTTTGCAGGATTCTCGCTGTTCTAAGCAACAGCGTCTTCTGGAGCTGAGCAGGTGTTATTTGCTCAATGCCCAGAATGTCTAGGTGTTTCTTGAGACTTCTAGGCACCGCTCCAAGGGCTCCAATGAAAACTGGCACAATTCTTCTCCCAGAGGCACTCTAACTCTGTTGGTATGTCTTGGTATTTGGTGATCTTCTCCTGTTCTTTCTTTTCTATTCTGCTGTCTCCTGGGATTGCAGTGTCCGTTATCCTGATAATGACTGTTGCTGTAGGGATTTCCAGAATAAAACTGAAAACAAAGGACATGTAGGGTTCCAAGGTTTCTGTCTCTACGCTTATTTCTGTGCTCTGCATCCAAACCCCGCCCGGTATGTCACAGCCGTGACTCATTGGTGGTGGCTAAGTCAGCTGTGGGCACCAGGATCTTCTCCTAAGGAACTACCCTTTCTGGTTTTTATTTGTTTTTACGTCACAGTACAGCAGAAAGTTTTTTGGTGCGCCTCCAACTTAGGCTGTCAGTCTATGCCCATAACTTTCAGAGAAGATTTTATGG